TTTCATGTCTTTCTTTCGCCTGTCACTTGCTGCCATGTTTGCTTCATGGGCCGCATTCCTGCTCTGTACATTAAAACAGAGATTACTGACTTTTATCTTGTCATCTGTCAGATCCCCGCCTTTGAGTCAGCTTGAGCTCGTGTATAATATGGTTGTCTCCCTCCTTTGAGGGTTTCCTCTCACCTGAGCCTCCACTTATCAGTTTTTTCACTCTTCCCTGTGAATATTTGTGATGACACTGTTATGACTACTTTAATCAAATATATATGTTTATATAATCTGTATTTTCTTTCACAGCTCTTTCCAATTAAAAGAGCTGTGAAAAAAGTAAATGAAAGACAATGTACAGTTTATTTGTGAATTAGTGCACTAATAATTGCCTTACGTTAGATTACAAGGACTTCACTACCCATAATGCTCTTATAAGTTATCTAGCAATGTAAAGATATTACTTTCTAAACACAAGAAACTAGTTAAGCCTGTGAAATATGTGTATTTCTGGTTTACATTGACTAGAGAAAATGTCTCGTTTCAAGCGTAGGGTCTCTTCTTGTTTTGGAGCCACTGTGAGATAGCAGTAATTCCCTTTGCAGTATCAAGAAAATTACCCGAATACATCTGGAAAAATAGCGGCAGGGCTCACTCAAACAGACAATGATTACGATTCTGCAGTTCAGATACTCCAAAGTAGATTTAGAAAGAAGGTTCTCATTGGAAATGCGCATGTGTCAAAGCTAGTGAATCTCACTCATCCAGTGTTGGTGCACTGAGGCAGTTACAGTGGGGCAAAAAAGTATTTAGTCAGCCACCGATTGTGCAAGTTCCCCCACCTAAAATGATGACAGAGGTCAGTAATTTGCACCAGAGGTACACTTCAACTGTGAGAGACAGAATGTGAAAAAAATAATCCATGAATCCACATGGTAGGATTTGTAAAGAATTTATTCGTAAATCAGGGTGGAAAATAAGTATTTGGTCAATAACAAAAATACAACTCAATACTTTGTAACATAACCTTTGTTGGCAATAACAGAGGTCAAACGTTTACTATAGGTCTTTACCAGGTTTGCACACACAGTAGCTGGTATTTTGGCCCATTCCTCCATGCAGATCTTCGAGAGCAGTGATGTTTTGGGGCTGTCGCCGAGCAACACGGACTTTCAACTCCCGCCACAGATTTTCTATGGGGTTGAGGTCTGGAGACTGGCTAGGCCACTCCAGGACTTTCAAATGCTTCTTACGGAGCCACTCCTTTGTTGCCCGGGCGGTGTGTTTTGGATCATTGTCATGTTGGAAGACCCAGCCTCGTTTCATCTTCAAAGTTCTCACTGATGGAAGGAGGTTTTGGCTCAAAATCTCACGATACATGGCCCCATTCATTCTGTCCTTAACACGGATCAGTCGTCCTGTCCCCTTGGCAGAAAAACAGCCCCATAGCATGATGTTTCCACCCCCATGCTTCACAGTAGGTATGGTGTTCTTGGGATGCAACTCAGTATTCTTCTTCCTCCAAACACGACGAGTTGAGTTTATACCAAAAAGTTCTACTTTGGTTTCATCTGACCACATGACATTCTCCCAATCCTCTGCTGTATCATCCATGTGCTCTCTGGCAAACTTCAGACGGGCCTGGACATGCACTGGCTTCAGCAGCGGAACACGTCTGGCACTGCGGGATTTGATTCCCTGCCGTTGTAGTGTGTTACTGATGGTGACCTTTGTTACTTTGGTCCCAGCTCTCTGCAGGTCATTCACCAGGTCCCCCCGTGTGGTTCTGGGATCTTTGCCCACCGTTCTCATGATCGTTTTGACCCCACGGGATGAGATCTTGCGTGGAGCCCCAGATCGAGGGAGATTATCAGTGGTCTTGTATGTCTTCCATTTTCTGATGATTGCTCCCACAGTTGATTTTTTCACACCAAGCTGCTTGCCTATTGTAGATTCACTCTTCCCAGTCTGGTGCAGGTCTACAATACTTTTCCTGGTGTCCTTCGAAAGCTCTTTGGTCTTGGCCATGGCGGAGTTTGGAGTCTGACTGTTTGAGGCTGTGGACAGGTGTCTTTTATACAGATGATGAGTTCAAACAGGTGCCATTCATACAGGTAACGAGTGGGGGACAGAAAAGCTTCTTACAGAAGACGTTACAGGTCTGTGAGAGCCAGAGATTTTCCTTGTTTGAGGTGACCAAATACTTATTTTCCACCCTAATTTACGAATAAATTCTTTACAAATCCTACCATGTGAATTCATGGATTTTTTTTTCACATTCTGTCTCTCACAGTTGAAGTGTACCTCTGGTGCAAATTACTGACCTCTGTCATCATTTTAGGTGGGGGAACTTGCACAATCGGTGGCTGACTAAATACTTTTTTGCCCCACTGTATATGATGAATGCAAAATTCAAATTGGGAGCCTAGAGTCAATGGGACTGGTATTGGATACCTGTTAAAGATGCTACTAGAGGACATGACTCTTGGTTGTAGCTGTCAGAATTGAGCAGAAGACAAATGGAAGGTGGTGGATGTTCTTCAGGACTATCAGAGTGAATAGAGAACTTGGCAAATGATGACCTTGTACAATCAGACAAAGAGCCTCTCTGCTCACAAGCCATGCAGGAAATCATCGTCCTCCAGTGACATGAAACTAAAGAAACCATGAATGGCACCCATCCATGCACTGAAATCACATTTGTAGAAGATGAAGAAGCTAGGCAGGCACTTTGTATGATTCGGAAATATACTGCAAGGCAAAGGACGAGTCATTTGTAACATGTGGAGGCTGGCATCACATATCTATTTGTGAGGAAAAATGAGGCACATCTATGTACGGAGTCTAAACAGACAATGTCATTTTGCCAGTACTTTCCCATCAGAAAAGATGAAGCCTGACAATGAGAACACTCTGTTGTTGCATTCTGCCAAAGCGTGGGGGGTAAGGAACACGTGTAGGATGATAGTCTGTTTCTCGCTTTATGGAGGAAGTCAGAAGAGCTTTGATTGTGACAATGCAGCGATGGTGCTGGAACGACCAATCATCAGACAAGGGACATTTAACCTCTGCACATTTGGCTCTGTAACATGTGAAGCTCAGCTTGGAAACCATCTGGCATAAACTGCAATATACCGAAATAGAAACAGCTGCAACCTCTCAAGTGTGCACTTGCATTAAAGGTTCACCGCGATTTCACACAGAGGGAGGTGAAGAAGTCTAATATTTGCACACTTCCCTGGCGATACAAAACCTAACTTTTTGTGGCAGCTGCTCACATTGCTAGTGACAGATAATTAAGGTCAGATACATACAGACTGGTGTCATTAGATTATAACCTTGCACGGGCAGTTTGGGACACTGTAATAATTTCCATCATGAATTCTGAAAATTTAGGTCACTGAGAATCACAAATGAAAAGTCTGGGAGTGAACGAATGAACGAAGCTGCTCTGACAACAAAACAACTCTGGGCAACTACCGCACTGGCAAGAAATGGTTAAAAAGGTTTGAAAAGAAAATCAAAAAAGATATCAATGAAGTGATGGAGGACAACTCGACAAAAGGGATGGTGAGGATGTGCATAAATCACTATTAAACATTCAAGCGTAATACCTGAAAAAGGATAAATTAGTCCCGGAATTTAGGAAGTCCCTGTCTAAAGGAGTGCTTCTGCACATATCAGCATCATAACTGGATTGGGATGCTGGGAGATTTCTGTGGTTTATGGCACTGTTAACAGGAGCTGTATGTGCTCAGAATGACCAGGGCAGTGCCCAGCAGAAGGAAGGACATTTAACAATACCCAGTGGTGATAAAGACCATCAGAACCTCACTTTATGTGAATGACTTTATGCAAGTTTGCAGGAGGTGTCAGTGGCTCACTCAGTGACAGCAACATGAACACAGAGTCTGCTGCAGGCATGGCCCGCCTGTTTAAGTGAATAACAGGCTCTCTAGACCTGATAGTGAAGCAGTAGATCTCTAAAATTCACATCACTTCACTGGCAAGGCAGACATTTCACACATTTGTTTCAAGGTAGATGTTTTGCTTTTAGATTTAAGGCAAAGGTTGGACAACAGAAAGTGGCACCACTTCCACTGTTGTTGATTTCGGAGGATTATGCAAAATCATCGGGGCGTATTATGCCAGAGATCCAGCTCCCTTTCAGCTGGATCTCTGGCATAATACGCCAGAATAACGTCAATGAACCACAAGAGTTCAGTGTTCAGACATTACATAAAGTTTTGTTAGCAGTCCAAGAGTCAATTGTATTTCAGGGTCCATTCACTAAAGAAAATGCCTGACTTTTAAGTACATGTCTCAACGAATAAATTCCAAAGTAATTAGACTAAAGTACAAAAATCATATTGAAGAAAATGTGAGGTGTCACTTTTTGGAAAAGCAATTTGTTTGAAGAGTACAAAGTTTCAACTACCAGCTGGTGAAGGATGACACAGAGAGAAAGACCAACAGAGTAAAAGAGAGATAAAAAAGGAACTTTTAGTGCTCTTGCACATCCTCATATAGAAAATCACCAGACAGTCAAGTGCTGAGTGGACTAACACACTCTTATCCTTAAATTTTAACACCTTGTGGGATATGCTGAAAAAAAAATAAACTCCCCATGTTCTCTCCTTTCTTCCTTAGCCATCGCTTTCTTTATTCGCCGTCTTCCTCCCCTGCTTTTAGTTCAGCTCTTGACTCCTCAAAAACCCGTTCCCTCATTTCCATGAGAATTTCTCTGCGCTGCCCTTTCCGCTACGGGGAAGCTGCATCAGACCTGTGCAGGTGGCTGATTTAGGTGTTTTACAATGGAGCATAAATTACATAAGGATAAGTGTGTGTGCAGTAAAATTGATGAGTAACAGTTAGAGTTTGATTTCTGCTCAGTCAGAACGCTGTAACCTTGCTAAAAGGATGGGATGTGAAGCTAATTACATGAAGGATGGCCTCCAATCATGCAATCTTCAGCGTGTGCTTTAGTGTGTGTGTGTGTTTGCAGTTGTCACCTGAAGCAGTATTGATGGTCCTGACAGCCTCCCTGGTGCTGACTCTGTTATTAGGGGGATAGTCAGGGACAGTGTTTTCGTAGTGCTTCCCTGACATCCGTGGACTCACTTTGGCAGGTAGATGACTGAAAAATAGAGAGATGGAGAAGGATGGAGAGGAGGGAAGGGGGAAAAGAGAATTAGATAAAAAAGTGAGGAGGAGGAACGGAGAATAGAAGACAAAAAAACAATAAAATGCCTTGGATTTGGAGAATTGGCTTACGCACGAGTGATACAAAAGAGGAATGAAGGTGAGATAGAAGGTGATGAAAATGTGATGAAGGAGATGAAAATTGGTTTCTGTGTGTGCGTGCAAGAGTGACAGATGTTTTAACCAAAGACGATTTGTGCTTGAAACACTGCCTGGTTCCCATTACAGCCGCTGACAATCTGAGTTTTACACATAATACCGTGACACATGTGCACAGTCACGAACAAACACACATGTGCACATTCCCAATTTCACACATAACAGCCAGCGATCCCCTCATTGGCTCACCCTGATTGGCTGTGCTGCTCATCAATGGCATCCACGGCACTCTCCACAGAGCTCAGGAGAGACTGGATCTGATTGGCTGACTCCTTCAGCAGGAAACGGGTAACAAATTGCTCCACGTTGGTTCCCCTCTCATACACCTGGAGAGAAAAAAAAAGGATTGACAGCGTGTGTCATATATAATTTGAGTTGTTCTGTCAAAAGATGTAACATCAAAATGTCTGTGAAGTCAATGTTTTCTTCCCCTTTCATCATGTCCTTCACACATCACAGCGCAGCACTGCAGCCTTCCTGTCCGTTACTATCCTGAAGAGACTTTTCAGCTCAAATCTTATTTTGCTTCTTCCTTGCATTCATTTAATGGTTGATTTGCTTCTCGCAGTGGACAGACAGCAGATAGGGAGGCAAAAATAACAAGTAAAAACAGACTAGTGCACTGTATTTGGAGAACTTGACAGCTGGTAATGGATTATTGGATAATGAACGACTTGAGACGTCTATACAGACAGTTGATTATTTGACTTTGTGGATGTAGTGTGTTGCAGCTGCAGTGAAAAAGGAAAGGTTGGTGTCACTGAAACTTTGAGACAAGCGTTGTCTTTCACAAACGGCCACTACTGTGTGATGCTATTCTGCTGTGTGTGCTAATTACTGTAAATGATATATATAAATAAAGCTTTTACTTTTAGAATTTAAGAAGCACTTTTGCCTTAAAGGAAATGTTGAATTATGGAAATCTTGTAGCCCCATAGGGACACGAAAATGTGACTTCCTACTTCCTACTGTTTCAGTTCAGATTCAGCAGACAAAGACACGAAGCCGCTGAAACAATATTCTTCTTCTCTAGCAATACACAAAGGCATAGCAGCAAGAAAGGCGAGGGATCAATAAAGTCATCAGTTGTCAGCATCATTCACCGTTCTACTACAATACTGTTCCACCCGATTTACACCAGCCGCCTTAGATGAAGTGCATCAGTCTGTTGGTATTCAGCTTTCCCAGAGCTGTTTTAAATTGTGTCATGAGTGGCTATGAGTCCTTGAACGAATGCATATTTAAAATAAATGAGAATCCAATAATAAACGACAGACCTGTGAATGTGGAAAATTTGGAAAAGTTTTTAATTTTTTTTACCTCAAACATTTTCAAAGACAGAAGCTAAAAAAAGACAAGTGACATCCTAGTGAACGCATCAAAGCAGGCGTCCCTGAGCTGCTCCGCTGATAGTGTGAACACAGCAAACTGGCAGAGGAGTTGAGTGTTTCAGATAAGACTGGCACTCCTGCTTTAACTCTGATGACCTTATCACAGCGACCACTTAATTATTTAACGGCGTGAAGGTGTGCTTTAAATAAATTTAAAAAAAGCCAGTCCATTCAAAATGAGTCGCAGCACATCTGTCAGTTCTGGATTTCAAGCTGTGTGTATGAGGCTGTACTTTACAGTTTACTGCAAGTTACAGTTTGCATTTAAAGACTTTAAGGTAGTGTTTTGGTTTTTCTTTGTTCTCTTTCTCTCTCAAAAAATTAAATCTAAATTCTAAAAGATTGACATGAATAGTTCATTTTCGCTCCAAGTTGGGAACATTGGCATGTCAGTATAAGAAATTGAAGAGTTATTTCCAAGGCTAGTGGTTACAGTATATGTAAACATGTATGTAAAATAAAGCGAAACTAATAAGAGTATGTTTCTAAAATTTTAACCCTCATTATTTCTACTGTACCAATATTTGACCATATGATTAAGTAATGTAGGTCCTGGTAACCCATCGAGGGAAAACTGTGGCTCTTACCACTTGCTGGTTGGGAGTTTTGTTCCCAATTGCCCTGAAGATCCTAAATTGGACCAGTAGAAGAAAATGCATGGAAGTGTTTTTATTTATGCATATTTGAAACTGTTTTAGTCAGAATATAGAAGGAGAAATACACAGCTGCAGCTCTAACATATTTTATAGCAAAAATAAAGCCCAATAAATCATAAACATAGTAGTACTAGGCAGTCTATTTGATGAATGTGCCATGTCTGGTAAACTTAAAAGTAGAAAAATGAAAAGAAAAAAGCATCAGGCTGCATTTTAAGAATAGATAAAATCTGGTAGTGGTGGTACTGGATCTCCAGGGAGGAAAGCATCAAAAAAATATCCATCCATCCATCCTCTGGAGTCTGGAGCCTATCCCAGCTACCGTAAGGGGGTGGGGTACACCCCGGACAGGTCGCTAGCCTGTTGCAGGGCCAACACGCAGAGATAGACAACTATTCACACTCACATTTACACATATGGACAATTAACTTAACTGCATGTCTTTGGTGGGAGGAATCTGATGTACCCGGAGATAACCCACGCAGACATGGGGAGAACATGCAAACTCCACACAGAAAGGCCCCGGCGAGATTATGGTGCGTCAAAACTAATCACCTGGAAACATTTCAAAGTCAACCAAAGTATTTTCCACCAACTCATGGAGCAACTTCAGCTTAATTAGCTAACTGGACACAGTTGAACCAATTTGCTTCACCCAGATGTCTTCAGTCTGCAAACTTAAGAGATGGTGACAGAATTTGAATTCTATTTTTGCTGCTAACGTTGGGGCCTGACAGGCAACGGTGACAAAGAAATAAAACTGCCAGCTTTCATGTACTGCTTAAGACATGTTTAAGGCCAAAACCTTTTCAGAATAATACATGAAAACCTGACTATTGAACACCAGGCCATAACTGACTGCACATGTACTCTAGAGAGTGGAGTCAGTCGGTCATGTCAGCTTTACTGTCAGGAGTCACAGTGCAGTGATTCAGGAAGACAATTAAGGTTCCTGTGCATTCACCCATTCTCTGCTGCACTCTAATCAAAGACAAACGCTCCTGTGAGACAGCGAATCACACAGGCCTCTGTATTGACTTCCATTATCATAGTCAATGACTTCCACACATGCACACAAGCAAGCATACACTGAAAGAGCCAAACTCATCCGTATCTGTGTGCAGAATAGTCCAGTCAGCTAGTTCTGATTTTCAAAAGCATCCAATAAAAGCTCAACTATCTGTAAAACAGCAACCAGATTACAGAATTTAGGCTTGTCGTCCAATTTGTACTTACTGTTTTATTCAGGAGGCGCCGATGACACATTAATGACTACCACGCTGAGATTCAATTATTTAAGAGGGATACACGTCTGAATAAACAGAAATGAAAAAGGAGAATCTTATCAGTTTTATTGAATAGTTTATGACGGTGTTGCGAGTCAATTGTGGACATTTAGTCTTAAAATTGGAAAATGCTGATAAAGTCTTGCCATTTATTTGATATATTCAACATGCTTTGTCTTTAGTTAGACAAGCTGAGTTCTAGCATTTATAGCAAACAAAAAAAATATTGGTAGGAAATTCCCTCTGGGTAAATGTAAATGCATGTGCCTTATAAATCAGCAGATTTGCAAGAAGGATGAGCTAAGATATAAGAATTATGATGGTCGGTAGAGGCAAAATAATAGATGAAGGCTGAGATATAACTGCCCTTAGCACAATTATCCAAATGTTCATACACAAAACAGACACAAGATTTAACACAAGTCAGGGCAACTCAGGGGGTTGGGAAGCTCATCTGTAACCGGAAGGTTGCCAGTTTGATGCCCCCAGCTCTCTCTGTCCTGGTCGTTGTGTCCTTGGGCAAAACACTTTACCCTACCGCCTACTTGGCCAGAGGGGCTGATGGCGCGATATGGCAGCATCGCTTCTGTCAGTCTGCCCCAATGCAGCTGTGGCTACAACTGTGGTTTGCCTGCACCAGTGAATGAATGAATAGTGGAATTGTAAAGCGCTTTGGGTGCCTAGAAAAGTGCTATATAAATGCAATCCATTGTTGTTATCATTAACAGAGCCATTATCCACAGACTGGATGGAAATGAATGGATGTGTCACAAACAACAAGAAGCTTATTTGTTTCCTTGTCGATACCGTGTCACCCCATACATATATATTACCATATTATGTCGTTGTAAGTTTTTAAGCATTGATAAACCTAACATGAAGACAGATTTCAATCTCACATAAAATGGAAAAGTGCATGAGCTCATATGAACGCGTATGCAAGATCGCTGATCATAACTGTAACATTTGGGCACTACTTGCAAAGGTTTGCATCAAAGCAAACCATGAAAATAAGATTTGACAAACTGGAGAGTTGTAGGGACACACAAGCTACCAAGAATATGAAGTATGAAATTTTAAAGGCACTGTGCAGAATTCAAAAAATTCTCAATTTGGGTATCCAAAAACATGCCACCAGTATAACTTCAGAGAAAATGGAGTGCCTTAATGGCCAAGGCGTTTAAGGCCTAACAGTTCTGTGGCACACCATTCCACATCTCTCCCTCTCTCCCCCATTTTTTCTGTCATTGCTGCACTAAAGAATTACATTTATTCAAATTAACTGATGTAAACATGAAATTGAAAATCACGATTAGTGTAAAGCAATGCACAGAAGTGTGTAAAACAAAAGCAATGGCTCAGCTCCATTTATGAAAACCTGCCACACAGAACAGATACAGCAACACTACAAGAGGCCCCGGGGCTGTAAACAGTATAACAAATATATTTTTATGCTATTACAGTTGCAGGCAGAGTTTTTTTCAGCTTTTTTCACGAAATCATTTTCCAGGACATTTTCAGTGACATGAGGCTGTTATAAGAGATCACGTTTGTGTCCTTACTGAAAATGTCCCTTTAAATTTTAGCCACTTCAAAGTAAAAACACATTCCTGACAAGTACCTTGACACAGTGCTGTTTTAAATACAGCGGGTGCTGACAATGAATACTGGCCCTTTTTTTCCCTTTGTAGAATTAAGTGAAGAAACTACTGCATTATTTTTCAACGCCACTAACAACTCTACTTTTAGTGCTTGATGTATGTGTTAACAAGGTTAACCGAGAAACAACCTAAATAAACCTTTTTTATTGACCATTCTAAAAGTACAGATGGAAAAATACGACCAAGAAGTCAGCTGCTACAATGCTAACAGTACATAAAGCAACTGTTTCGTAGAATTGCCGATCTATTTAATGCTGTGAACAGTCATTATGCATCCTTAAAGTACAAAAAATAGAAAATTTACAGATACATAAAGTTCCAACTAGGTGCTG